GGCCATGCATTTGTGTGAGCGTGTGTCTAGCTGTCTGGATATTGTCAGGGGATGCTAGGAGGCTAAGAGGCCTGGGTCCTTTACATCCTCCAATTTGAAGATCGTAGGTGATTTTCTCCCCAGCCAGACTGCCTGGCATATGAGATGTTTACATCCCCCTTACATGTGTTAAATCTTTACTCCAGAAAACTGCCTTCACTCCCACTGATGCATCTGGGTTTAGGAAATGTGGTGGCAGGTAAGTATGGGATGAGATCGAGTGGCAAAACCCTCTAAATGGATGCTCTGAATCACCCAGGAGTATGGAGTCCTGAGGTCTGTTAGAGGCTCATCATCACTGATCTCAAAGATCCAGAGCCCAACGTCTAAGAAAATCCAGAGCCTGCATGGTAATCAGGTTCTTACTGAAAACAGGATCACTGCTTACCCCCGCTCCCCAAGAGAAGAGTCTTTCTCAGCCCCAGTGGTGTTAGGCTACGTGACCTGCTTTGATCGACAAGCTGTTACGAGATGAAGTGTGCCGCAGGCTGGACATGTGCTTCTGATCGCAATCTTCTATGCCTGAGCCCATAACTGTGAGCCCTGCCCCTGCTAGCACTGATGCAAGGTGGGTGAGAGGCATGTGGGACGGACCCGCACTCAGTCTGTCTCGAGCCCTGGCACTCAGCACAATATGCCCCTATTGAGCCGTCTTCCAGAAGACGCGGGGATCCCATGTCAACATCAGCGGCTCTCCTCTTTCTCACCAATAGCCTCTGCAAGGTCTGGGACCACCCAAACCCTGCTGTCTCCATGGGAAGATAGCACAGGATGATTATACTGTCTCGAAAAAATGCATCCAGACCACCCATGATGACAATAGATGTTGGAGACTAGGTCATAACCCAGGTAACTCAAAATCCTAGATAGCTCGTCCATCAGTCAACAAATCATTATTTTTTTTCCGGATCCAGCCACTATTACAGGCTTGGCATTAGGGGGTTGGAACGGCAAACAAGATCATGGTAAGTTCCTGTTCTCAAAAAGCTCTCACTCCAATGGAAGGCAACAAAGCAATAAACTTATACACACAGCAAATGAAAAGCTGCCAGTTGCTGACACATACTATGAAGAGGACAAAAGAGTGTCAGGAGAAAGGGAAGGATTGGCAAACGACAACCCATGGGCCACATCCAGCCTGTTGTCTATTTTTGGGTGGGCTGCAAGTTAAGAATTATTTCTTACATTTTTTAAAGGCTGAAAGGAAGGAAAAGCAGAATGTTTCATGATGCCCGAAAATGGGATACAAGTCAAATTTCAGTGTGCAGATAGTCCGTCTGGAGAACAGACACCCCACATGAGCTGCCTGGCTACTTCTCCAAGCTCAACAACTGCAGCTCTGGCTTCCACTCGCCCCACGCCACAGAGCCCTGGGCTAATTCCTGAAGACACTACACAGTGATGAATGAAGTTGAACCAGAGAGCTCCCCCGACCCATCGCTCCTCTCCTGCCGGGCATGGATTTTCTTCAAGGTACTCATCACCTCGGACATGTCAGGGATCTACATGCTGCCTGCCTCCACCTCCACACTGGGAATGAAGTGCCATGAAAACTGAAACATTATCTCATTTCCCACTGCATTTCCAGCACCAAGATCAGTGCCAAAACACAGTAGGTCCTCAACAAATAGATGAATAGGCAAATATTGGAAAACTCAAATGAAAGGCTTTCATTGCAGGGGGCCTCAGAGCATCTTGGCTATATAGGGCCCCGAGCTTCTTAGTAGAGACTGTAATAACTGGTGGGGGCAGGTGGAGGGAGAGTTCACCACCATAAAGCACCCTAATTACATTCCCAATTACACATTGTTTCCCACCTTCTCTGCCAATCTCGACTGGTAGGAAAGAGATGAGCTTCAAAATGTGCTCCTCTAGACAGCTGTCATAAGGCTAAAAGTGCCTGCAAGTTCCCGATCTTATTTATATTGAGTTCTACGAGGAAGCCTCCATGCCTCCATCTAAATACTAAATTTTCAGTCTTTATGGCTTTCTGATGCAGCCCCCAGAGGGGGCCGTATAACGGACCTCATTTAACATTCAGCTTGCATACTATTTTTTCCCCCCTAGAGTTCTTAGGCTCTAGAGTAAAGGTTTACTCACAATTCTACTTCATTTTTTTAGTTTAAAAATGTCAAACAAGGAAAGACACTGGATCCAGAGCACCAGTGATATGCTATCGTGAAATGAAAACTTCAACCACCAGTTAAAAGTGACTAAGTGTGTAATTTGACATAGTTAACCAGAAGGTCACTAATGAAGAAGAAATGAATGGAAAATATTACAAATGCCAAGGACTGTACCAGATGGAAAGGTTAACAAAAGCTTATTGGGCCACTGGACTCACCACATCATGGACTTTCCTGTGCAGACGGGCCCTCACATGCCCCCCTGTTTCTACTTCCGAAGTCATGCACAGGAAAGTCTGTGATGTTGTGAGTCTGTAACTGCTTTCTTCCAGCTCCCCATTAAGTGTATGTATTAGCAGTAAATCTGGAATATTTAAAGCCTCACTGTGCTCACACCGCCTGAAGAATTCTTCATGTCCGAGCTCTCAAAAAGAGTCAAACAACCTAAGGAATGTTACTTATCCCCAACAATTTAGTCTCCTTTTATACCATTGAAGAAATCAACATTTTCAAACTATAACTGAACCATTTAAAAACTCCATGCAATAAAACTAGCAAAAATAATGCCAGGAACCCAGATCATCAAAAGGATTCTTGAGCTTTGTGGATATAAAAAAAAGTTGAACAGCTGTATTTGCTTCAAGCAGGTCGAAGTTTTCCTCCTATCACATTGGCTCAAAATTTGATTCCCTTCTGCCTGCCTGACACCAAGACCCAATCTCCAGGCTGGTGGCAATGACATTGGCATGGATGACAGGGACCTCCCCCATGCACATTTGGAACTTGGAATTTGAGAGGGGTAGATGGCCCTGGACAAGATGACTCTCTACCCAGTGTTCAACTTCTTTTTAATTATCACCCCCCCATTCCCTCTCCCCAATATTTTTAAACGTTTTTCTCCATGAAATTTTAATATAGATACACTGTGCCTCTATATTGTGTGTCTGTGCTTTCAGCACAAGAGAAAAGGCTTTTTCACACCCAAGGACCAATATCCCCCTGCTGGGGGCGACATCACCTCACCTCTGTTGAAAATGCATGTCCTAGCAGCAGCTATGAAACCTCAAGTCCACATTGGATTGTTTGTTCACAGCCAGAAATTTCTAAATCGATAATGATTTTGCATCGCATCAGTCAAAACAATTCTATTGGAATCATGTTGAAAATAAAAAGCTGAAAAAATACGGATACTTTCTAGGAGATACAGACAACTGAATAAAATGAGGCTTGGCCAGTGCATGGCAGTCAAATGCTTTTAGCATCACTCTCGATTCACCGGGCTTGAGCTGACATTGGCTCACAGAACCAAAGATCTGGTTGCTGTTAAATTTTGCACATTTCCAGGAGCAAAACCCCAAAATGACTCCTGAGAAAACAATTTTCTAGATGGTGGCCATGTGTCACTGGGAACACCAGATAGAAAATGTCTTGCAGAACGCACGGAGTTTTCCATTTACAGGGCAAATTAATATTTGTTGCTCACAAATGACCTGAAAATAAATGGCTTACAAAGTTATCTGTATCATAAAAACAAATCAGCGCTTCACTAGGAAATCACTGTGCCATCTGTATATACAATTGAGGGGACACTTCCACATCTGAAAACATAGCAGAATACTCACTACTGTTCCATTACATTATTACATCTCCAAACTGCCCCCTCCCAATGTAAAACGGTATTTTCAAACACTAAGAATCACAGTGAGTCTAAGAAACACCACATTACCCCCCAATACAGGCTAGCTCCTGCCCACTGTCAGAGTTCTGCATTTTTATATTGCCTCAAAAATAATGGGGGAGGGCAGAGAAAGTTAGACCTCTGTATAAATAAAAAAAACAATAAAAAAGGTCTGCATTGCATTAAAAGTTGAGCTCACCTACCTTCACTGGTCCATGTTCATAACTGGAGCTCTCCACCAACTGCAGATAAGACATCATGAAAATATTCACCACTGCCCATTGTCTGTACATTTTGAGTATTTTAATATCCACCGATTACCAAGCAGTTGACATCAGGTAGCTAGAGCAAACTGTTTTAAAAGGCATTCTCCAGAAGGAAAGTTCGAAACCCCAAGACTTCACATGGAAAAACAAATAATCAGTTGTGATCAAAATCCAATGAAATGACTTCAATTAGTCAAGGTAGGTTTTTGCACAAGCTTACGGGGGAAAGAGATGAAAAAATTTTAAAATGTTCTCATTTTCTAAAAATCATCAGGAGGTGGATATGTCTTCCATTAGAAATGAGAAAACACTCTAAATCCATTTCGTGTTCAGCCAATTTAAAAAAAAAAAAATCTCTCCAGCCTATGCCCCAGGTTCTAGTTGCTTCTAAGGAGGTGGCGCGGCCACCAACGTTTGCAGCTACAGAAGGCTGGAACCCAATTATGGATTCAAACTTTTTTCACAACCTCAAGGAAGCATGCAGAGGCATGTGTCTTAAATCTGACACAGATTTTGGCAGAAAATGCAGGGAAGTCTTGGCTGTGATCCTGTCTCATCCCTACCAATAGCAGGGCAGATTAAAAAAAAAACGGACTAAATGCTCAGAGCTGCTGTCTTTTTCACGCAGATAACCTGTAATGTGAAACCCCAGCACAGAGGCTTGACTGTGGTCTGATTTGCTCAGGAAGGGAGCTCAGTCACTCACCGATCTACAGCCAGTAACACACAGAAAGCAACTCCTTTTCTTCCAAAAGTCTCACATATGCACACACACAAAATAAAACATCCACACGCACGTGAAAATGCAAACATCTGCAAAACGATTTTTAAACAGGAGCTTATTAGTCGCTCAGGTCAAAATGAAGAACACTGATTTTTACAAAAGCAACAATTAGATTTATTTGCATATGCCTGGAAATATCTCTGGTGCACTGTTACAAAAATCATGCTATCGCGTCAGCTGGGGTTCTTCAGAAGCACTAGCACTAGCGAAGTCAGCTCTGGAAACTAAATGCACTGAGTGGATGGGTGCCGTGCAGGGCAAAATCCTAGGAAGTGTGTGTGCCCTTCACTAGTTTCCAATCTTTGATTTCCAGGTCTTGGCTCTTTCAAACCCGTTTTTTCCATTTCTGAAATCAAGAATGGCCTCCGAAATCTCTTCATCACTGTTCATCACAAACGGGCCTAGGGCAGAAAGAGACATTCAGAAAGTTCTGGGTGATGACAGCATTTTCTTCTACCACTACAAATGGTATGTATGTCTGTAGTTCTTTTTTTTTCCCCAAGTATTTCCATTTCTCAATTTTTCCCCATTTCTTATTGAGGTAACATTGGTTTGTAACATTATGTTAGCTGCAGGCGTACAACGTCACAATTCAACATCTGTATACACTACAACACTGTCACCAATAAAAGTCTAGTTTCCATCCATCACATTACAGTTGACCCCATTTGCTCATTTCCCCCAATCCAAAGCCCTTCTTCATTGGTATCCAATCTGTTCTCTGTATCTGTGAGTTTGTTCTTGTCTTATCTTGTTTGTTTGTTTGTGTTTTTTTTATCTTCCACATATGAGTGAAATCATCTGGTATTTGTCTTTCTCCATCTGACTTATTTCACTTAGCATCATCCCCTGAAGATTCCTCCACATTGATGCAAAAGGCAAAAATTCTTTCTTTTTTATGGCTGATACACATACACACACACACACATCATCATCATCATCATCATCATCATCATCATCTTCCTTATCCATTTGTCCATCAATGAACATTTAGGTTGTTTCCATATCTTGGCTACTATAAATAATGCTGCAATGAACATGGGGATGCATATGTTTTTTTTTTTTTGAATTTGTGATTTTATATCCTTTGGATAAATATCCAGGAGAATAGTTGAATCATATGGTAGATCTAGTCTTAATTTTTAGAGTAATCTTCACACTTTTTTCTAGGCACCAATTTATATTCCCAACAGTGCTAAGGGTTCCCTTTCCTCCACAGCCTCACCAACACTTGCTATCTTGAGTCTTTTTTATAACAGCCATTCTGACAGCCATTCTCACTGGTTCTTAATTGGAACAATCCAGGCAGATGGGAACAGTAAAAGGTTACTTTCATAGTGTCCAATCTCTGAGGACTGTAATACAAGTTTTCTTGACTAGGATTGTGTATGAATATAAAGACCCAACTTCAGATAGACATATGGAGTTGCATCTTACTCATCTATTGCAAGGTCTTCATCAGCAGTGGCAAGCTCTTCATTCTATACATTCTTAGGTTTGGTTCTACTGCAACTCTTTTTGTAGTTAGTTTCGCAGAATTAACTGATGTCAAAAACTGATCTGATCTGATCTAAGGAAGTGACAGATCTCACCATGGTTTTGGTGTCTAAGCAGCATACGAGGCTGTGCCCTCACATGAGGGGCCTAAGTCACTTTTGAAAATAAATAGCAAATAGCCATGGCTGTATTCCCATAAAGTCTGATTTACAAAAACATGCAGTAAGCAGATTTGGCCCCTAGGTCGGAGATTGCCAACCCCATTGTCTTATTCCTAGGTCTAAACTCAAGTTTTGCTAAAGATATAGAAATCCTCCCCTAATCTACTAGAAGGCATAGTGTCTGTCTTTCCCCTCTCCTTCACACATTGTAGGGGCCACAGGGGACCATTCTGGAATATCACTCCTAAGATTTGTTGGATTAGCAAGGCCAGTTCATATAAAGCAGTTGAGAGCTGTCAATTGGCAGTTGACATTTCAGCTGAATTTTCCATTCAGTACATTCCTTCCACCAGAGGTTCCTGACACTCCTTTAAAGGAATTTCTTTGTCTAAAGAGTTTTCTCTAAGATATCCTGAGTAAAATATAACTGTATTATTTAGAGGGAATAATACATTCAAACTTTTTAACCACCATTGTCATATGAGCACAGCTTTGGCGATCACTTTGGTCTAAAACTTGAGCAGGAAGACACAGGCTAGGCCTTGATGATGTTGAGGCCTTTTGGGAGACTTCAGAAAATAGGATGGTGGTAAGAAGGCAGAAGTTATATAAATTTGTCCATCCATCCATCCATCCATCCATCCATCCATCCATCCCCTTACTACCTACTGAGTATTTACCAGATGCCTATTGAATGAGAACTGTTGTGCCAGAATTAAGGAGATAAAGATGAAAGGCAAATGAATGACAGACTCTCCCTTTAAGAACCCAAATCCATCAAACAGAGGAAAACAAGTTACTACAAAACAGTGTGATATGTGGAATGACAAACATATGTAAAGTCTATAGATTCAGCACAGAAAGGGTAGGGGAAGGGGTCCAGAAAAGAACTCACAAGGGTGTGAAGTCCCAACAGGCAGACAAGGGGGGAAGAAAGACACTTTTAGGAGTATGCTGGAGGAAGGCTGGATCAGGGTGCTCGAAGGAGGGATGGTAGATGGTGAGGGGGAAAGTAATATGTAGGAAGAGGCCAGACCCCTCTGGTCTTTGGGTGTCATCTATGGGGAGAATGTTGGACATAATCCTGCAGGTGATCAGGAACCACTAGACAGCTAGGTAGAGAGTAACATGGTCTGATTTGCAGTTTTTAAAGCAGACTTTGGCATTAGAATAGAGCAGTTACCTAGCCTGGGAGGCTGAGCTGATGGTGGAATTGTTAAGGGAATTACATTTCCAGTGTTCTCCAGTGGGAAGCCTTCGGACCAATAGAAAGTGCTGTGAGCAGGCCCACGCCTGTGGTCATCACGGCCAAGCTCGTTCCTCATGATGGGGCAGGGGAGACTGCCCTGTGGAAAGGATTTCAACACCACACATCCTTTTCCCACCTAACTTCTAGTTGCTCTTAATAAAGATTACGAGCCCGCTGAGTTTATCTGCAGGCTTCCTCTAGAACCAAAACCATGCCAGTGCTGTTCCAGCAAGACAAAAGGAAACAAGAACCTGGAACCCTGGGAGTGCAATGGGAAGCATACAAAACAGAGCTCAAACACTAGTTTTGCTGGGGTCCATGCTGGTGCTGCCCCCATAAGTTATTAATAGAACAAAAAAAGAATGGTTTAAAAATCAGTGTTCTTTAAATTTATGATCAGCTGTTTTTATTTTTGCTGAAATCATTGTGAACCACTTCTGATCAGAATCTCCTGGGAATTCATGCAAGGCAAAGTAATGTAATGGAATTTTAAGGCATGTCCAATTTAGTAATGCGGGCAGTGGGCACATGTCATGTTTTGTAGACATTTATCTAAATAGTAGCAAGCTGGGTTGTAGGTGTTTTTAGGAATTCCTCGCTCAATTAAATAACAGTAATATGAGGAAGGTGAGATAGAATTAAGGTGGCTGCTATGGGTACTTATTCCAGGCTTTTCTGCCTATTTCTACTATATCACAGTTCCCTATATGCATTTTTAAAAGTAAACAAAAAAGTGACTCCAATATTTTAGAAACTTTGAAGGGAATATTAAGAGGTTCTGATTTTTCACTAACAATTCAATAGACTACAAGGACAGAACTGAAATCAGTTATTTTTTGTAAAGGCAAAAATGATATTCAAGTTCCTAGTAGACGAAAAATCTCTTTGTAAGTTGAAATTCCCTGTGACACTGTGTTTGTTTTCCCCACAATATGGCTTGAAAGGAAAGTGAATGAATATAGAAATAATGCCATGTAGCTTTCCCACTGACAATGGAGAAACAAAACGAAACAAAATTTGTAGATGGAGAGATGGGATAAAAATTCAGCTATTCTTGCCAATAATTTTACGCATGTACACTACTTTCAAAGAAAAAAGAAAATCCACTAAGAAACCCGCCATCATTTGGGGCTTACCATGTTGGACAACTGGTTCTCGTAATGGCTCCCCAGCAATTAAGACAAAATGACTTTTCTCGGGATCCTAAGTCAAAAGAAAGCATCAAATAATAAACATGTTTACTTTTCAACATCACACTGAGAACAATACAAAGCTGACATTCTGGTCAACTGGACAGTGGGTGTTCCTAATTCTGTATATAGATCCCAGAAATATTTTTTTGTGCAACACTCAATATGGAAAATCTTATTCCTTAATGTTTAGTAGCAATGAGAACTCAAGAACAAGTCCAGATCACCAAAATATTCACCTTCTCTTTCTTCTCTTTCTAGGGATGAACAATAAAGTCTGTAGATGACTCTAGAAGATGAGGCATCATTAAAAAGGAAGCTTTAGAATAAAACAATAGGAAAGAAATTATTGAAAGAGGCGGATAAACTTGTGGCCTATTTTCTTTCTCCAAATAAGATCGAAAAATTTTCAGCTCCCCAGGAGACTTAGGTATTTTTCTGGAAATCAGTAGAAAGCACAAGTTAAAAAAATTCAATATTTGCAACACTCACTTTGTTCTCCACCTGGACACAGTCACCATCACCCAGTACGGCTGTGTGGTGAGGTTCTATTTTTTCTTGTGCATCATCAGGCCCTACAAAAAAGATGAGTTGGTAAATTTAATATACTTATCAAAACACCATGTAATGAATTTCAATTTCAGAAATAACTGACTTAGGAATTTCCTTAAATTTCTTGGTTGATTATATTTGCAATTACTGATGTCTGAAACCGGCTGGTTTCCAATATAGAAAAGAACAGGAGGTGAATTCTTCATTGTGTTTCCATTTACGCTATCAATGTCCTGCCTAGTCATTCATGAATGAAAAAAGTCCTTGGCATTATGTGTTAAGATGAGTGTTTCCTAGGGCAAATGATAAACCTAAGAATTAAGCATACTTAGGAAAATCAGTAAATGCCACCACTAATTCATTTCAACAAGTATTTATTGAGCACCTAGAACTGGGTAGTACTAGAAGACAGAAAGAAATGCAAGGCAGAGTCCTTGCATACAAATAATTAAAAATCTCAGTGGGAGAAATGAAATAAAAATTCATAAAAGCATCACATAATTGGCAAAAAAGAATTTTTAACTATGTGTGGTGATAGATGTTAGACTTACTGTGATAATTTTACAATATATACAAATACAGAATTACTGTTGTATATTTGAAACTAACTTAATGCTATATGTCAAGTAGGTCTCAATAAGAATTTAAAATACAATTCAATTGAAAAATAAGTCAGTTGGATAACTATGAACAAGGCCCTGTGCTAAAGGCTATGTGTGGAGGCGGGGATAGTCTTCAGCATAGATATGTTTCCATACCTTCTATACTAAGGCTCTCAGATGAAACAATACAAATTATATTGTGTCTTAAAGAATTGTGCAAAGTTCAACGAGCGAACAGGGTATACACCTGCCGACTCCAATCTAGGGATCCCAGGAACGATTTGTAGGGGAGTTAAAACTTGAACAGAGCTCTGTGGGAAGGGCACTGCAGACGAGAGGACAGACTACATGACAGAAGGTGTTCGAAACATGCAGGGCACCTCGGAGGGGATGGTGAAACTTGTGACATTACGAGACTTTTCTTATGGGAAGAATGATGGAAGTGTAGGCTGGATTCAGATCTGGGAAAGATTTGACAGTCATATTCAACCATTTAAGATTGTACCGCCTTTGTGGAGGGGGGGGATGTGTGTGAAATGGTCAGCTCTGTCTTGGTGAAATAACTCTAGAAGCAGAGAGTAGAATAAATCTGAAGGGCGAGAATGAAGTTAGATGACCTGTTAATTTACTGTAAGAGTCTATGTGAAAATGAGTTACAGATTGAACTGTGTAGCAGACATGGAAAGATAGGGATGGGTTTGAGAGGTGGACCCAGGAAGGAATCTAAAGGATTTGGTAACAGTGGGAGAGAGGAGCCCATGGTGATTCTCACTAGGAGCTGAATACCGTAGTGACCTAAAGAGAACAACAGTGATTCTGCAAGAGGAAGCCAGAGAATGGAGAAGCCACAATGGGCCAAAACAGTCATAGGACCATTGAGAGAGGGGGTGGGATTGGGCCTTTTAGTTGGCTGAAAAATATAGACATGAACAGAGAGAAGATTCCAGGCAGTATAAGCAAGCCCTTGAAGATGTCGGGGGCGGGAGGGGGGCTACACCTGCATGGTATTTGGGATATAAATAAGGGCATTCACCCGACATGCTGGGCTGAAGCTGAATAATCAATAAGGATGTACTTATTTAAATGAAAACAACAGCTTGAGGAATTATCACATAACAGAAATAAAATTTGTGAATTTTGACAATTTTGTCTGAAGTCCAAACATAGCTTTAGTTTCTAGAACAATCCTTCGCACTTCCACTTTTTGGAGAGCACCTGAAAGAGGCAACAGTGATTACTCTGATGACTGCAAGCATCAGGACTCTAATAGAGAAGGAATTCCTAAGCTGGAGTCAATGTGCTTCCAAGGGATCTGAGGAGAGAATTCACCGCATGGATGGCTTGGACGGGAGACAAATGACATCCTCATTTTCACTAACACCTAACTGAAATGTGGCTTTCCCTTCATTCCTGAATGTGGCCAACACACCACAGTAGTATTAGCTTGGACAACTGACTTGTCTCCAGTAGAACACACAGATATTTTCTGCATCATATTACAGTGTGACAGCTCTCTCAAAATAAGTTTATGTAAATAACTACTTAGAGTGAAGAGCAGACCTGTTGCTAGATCATATTATTTTATTTTATTTTTTTTTTTATAGAGGCATGCTTTATTTATTTGTTTGCTGGTTTGTTTGTTTTGTTTATACATGCACTGGGTACAGTCAGAAGCGCGGGAGGGTGAGAGAATTCACCAGAGCCAGAGCGGGGAGCAGAGCAGGCAGAAGGACCGAAGGACACTGCTGAGGGGAGCAGCGGGCGGCAGGAGAGGTCTGCACGCCATGTGGGACCCTCCTCCGGTGGCCGGGGAGCAGCCGGGGATCGAACCGGCGCCGCAGAGGCCGCGGGCAGCTTCGCAACCCAGCGCTCAACCGCTGCGCCACCGGGGAGGCCCTAGATCATATTATTTTAAATGTTATTAGAAAAGCGCACATGTAACTATGTGATAAGCTGGTTCCTTTAACATTTTAATGACACCACTGAACTAATAAAAAAAATCATTGTGGGAGAGGGGTTGGCAAATGTCAAAAGGGTCTACAGCACCAAAAAAGACAGGCCCCCCTGTCCCAGAGGCACTGGTGTGCTGTTTAATGTTTACCAACTGCCTTTGGGGACAAGGGTAAGGGCAAACCTGATTCGTAGTGTGTACCAATTTCCAGGGTGTAAGTGCTCCCACTGTGGGCAATTTCAAGCCACCCAGGGAGGTCAGGGAAGAGGGGAACCATCAGCTCCTTCAAGTTCACAAGCTTTGGCCCCAGCACAGCATGAAAGGTTTCTCCTCCATCAAAGGTTTGGGTCCACAAATGTCATGGAAGTGGATGACAGAACTCGATGGATTTTCCACTCATGCAAGGATTTCTCGATAAAAGACTGTTCTGGGAGTCTAAGAATAATCTCATTTAAAGTTGGGAATATTTTTAACTGTGACATGGCAAAGCGGTTTATTAAGTGTGCTTCAATGAGGTTCCTTGGGAGCAATGAACCGTGTTTCATCTTTATCTGTAACTAATTCATATATAATACCCACTGCCCACGTGGTCCACTCCTGGCCCTGCATTTTATCATGTAGGTTATTCCATGATACACAAACCAACAGTTTATAAAGCCTCTTCACTATGTTTAAATGGAGCGAGCTGGCAAGAGACAGCTCTCAAAAATCCTGCTGAGTTGGGATTTCTCTGCACCTCCTCTCGGGACTGTTGGCCTGACTGTGGTGTTCACTGGTCCATGAGGAAATGTTAATTTAGAAACAAGAGTTCCAGTCTTCCTAAGAGTGCTCATGCTAAAATTAGAATGCACCGTCTGCCCATTCTCCTGGTTGAAATGAGAGAAGAGTCACAGTGTCCAGACTGGGGAGGCCATCTGACACACCCACCTCAGGTGGCCCTGCCGAAGGACACCTGCTCAGGTTTCCAGGTGAATTGCTCAAAGTTTGCCTTTCGCTTGTTTATCTTATGAAATGTTTAAAACAGGGTCACAGAAAGCAAAGACTGATTCTATCTTCATGTCATTTCTATGCTGTTTCACCCATCTGGCTCTCTCCTGAACCTAAAGTAAGTCTCAAAGAAAATATATTTTATTGTTTCTGACTACTTTCAATTACAAAGAGAGCCAAATCAGATAATAAATAGTTTCCACTGAGATGCTTCGCCAAGAATGTTAAATCTAATAGTGCGGCTAAGGAAAATTTAACTAAAAACAATTGAATTGCAAATATTTTTGTTTGCCCTAAACAGTCATAAAAGGGCAAAATACTTGAAAACATATTTTAAAGTTAGCGCTGCATCTTCGGTGTGCAATTAATTGCTGTGTCGCTTCTCCACACGCAATACTCTTTTTTCTTTTCCTTCTCTGCTGATCCAATTTCCTCTCTGTTTCACACACTGGTACTTTCATCCTAGGTTTCGGTATCATCCATTTTACATGTATAGTTGAAGCCCTCTTATCTGAGGCAGCCAAGGTCATTAACTGATAGACAAATTGCCTCAAACTTTTTATTTTAAATTGAAGTGCAAATGTGCCTCCATCTGCCAAGTTTTAGAAATGGAGTCAAGGCAGGTGTGCTGTGGACTGAGGCTCTGTCTTTCTTTCTAATTTTTTTAAGATTTATTTATTTAGGCATACAAGAACTGGGGTACAGGCCAGAGGTGTGGGGGTGATGAGAGGATTCAGAGACAGAGTGGGGAGCAGAACAGGCAGACTGATGGAAATACACTGCTGAAGGAAGCAGCGGGTGAGATAGGAGAGGTCTGCCGCGCCACGTGGGTTGCTCCCTGGCTGGCTGGGGATCAGACTCGTGCTTCAGGGGCTGCAGATAGTTTCGTAGGTTGCATCTTAACCCTGTGTACCACCAGGGAGGTCCTCTGTCTTTCTTTCTAAAGTACACACACCAGGTGCTGCCCAACTCCTAGATTCTTTTTTTTTTAAAGATCCTTATTTTATTTTTATTTTTTTTAATTTAAATATTTTATTTTATATAATTCTTACATCCTTTTTCATCTTTGCACAATGTATGCATTTTCATTTTGGTTATATTCCCCATACAATTGCACCCCCCTTATTTTGATGCTAGTCTTCCTTTCCCCATCCCTCCCTCCCCCCCCAAATAGTGTGTCTCTGGTTTATAGTTGCTGTTGATTTTGATTTTTACTTTGTATTGATTAGTCTTTTTCCTGGTCCCTTATTTAGGTTTTCTAAATTCCTGCTATGAGTGAGACCATCCGGTATTTTCCTTTTTCTTTCTGGCTTATTTCGCTGAGCATGATCCCTTCTAGCTCCATTCATGTTGCTGCAAACTACATGTGTTTATCTTTTTTGATTGCTGAGTAATATTCCATGGTGCATATGTACCACATCTTCTTGATCCAGTCATCTATTTTTGGGCATTTGGGTTGTTTCCAAAGCTTAGCTATTGTAAACAGTGCTGCTATAAACATAGGGGTGCAGGTGCCCTTTGAAATGGAGAGCTGTGTGGAGATTTCTTGAACTACTACACATAGAGCTTCCATATGATCCAGCAATCCCACTCCTAGGTATTTACCCAAAGGACACAATAACTCCTAGATTCTTCTACTTTCCCTCAATCTTTTGCTGCTGTCTCTGCCATAGGAATTCAATGGAGGTTCCTTTAGCAACTCATTTTTGCAAAGCATCTGACTTAGTTGTTGTAGCAATACCTCTCTTTTCATACCAATCTCATTAATTTACAGGTTTAATTAAATTACATCATTTAAATTTGGGTGAAACTGGCAGAAACAGACTTGAGAGAAATCAAAGCTGCGTTTACATCTACTTCAAGTGGCCAGGGGAGGGGACCGTCCTGAGGGGTGACGGCCCTCCCTCACCAGTTTCACATGGGGTGAAGTGCATTGGTTGATCCAGTTTGTTTGGGCTAAGTGGAGGCCAGTTTGAGGGCTTCTGGAGGGCACCACACCTTTATTTAAGATCCAGGGGTCATGTCAAACTTCTTAATACCACCCAGAATCCGAGGCAGAAGTCTGAGCACAAACCGAGCACTTATTACTTGTGATTACTTATGATTACTTATTTAAATAAGTTGAAAGCATTCTGCATACATAAGCTCTCACTTCAACAACCCGCAAATATTTTTAGATTTCTGACTATCTTTTCTAAGCCCAAATCGTATACTTGCCACTGGTCCTTCTAGAGGACTGGCGTCCAAGCTGCTAAACTGTCCCAAGTTTTGGGACATGGGACATAAACTCTTCTGCCCTGTGGATCTGGGTTAATGAGTAATGTCATTTTCATCTCCACTGCAGCGCTTCTATGGGCATTCTGGCCACGCTGTTTTCATTTTCTTTTGATTTCGTTTTAATCATATACTACACAGAGTCCAGCTGAGGGCTGGTTAAAGGACTTAGTGCCTCAGTAAAAGATGGTTGTCAAAGATCTCTCTCTATCCCCCCCCTTAAAGTTACTAATTGATTGTCAGCTGAGGACTGAAAAACAGTATCAAAAATTACAATTCCTGAAGAGCAGAAAACATCTCAAATAAATACTTTTTTAAATTAGTAAGTGTTTACTCATTTCAGTTCTTTGAACTCCTCCAGGGTATCAACAGAAGGTAATTCCGTGGCTTCACTGTACTCACCTTAAACTTTAAAATGTCTGACTAACTTAGACAACTAGTTAGTGACTGGCATCTTCTAACATTCAAACCCCACCTGTCTGTGCTCAAGCTCAGTCTGCTGGTATTCATCATTTAAGCACTTCTGTATCAATTAACATTTTAATGGTCCTAAATCTCCATTCTATGGCATCTCCCCAGATTGCCTGCTCAATGCCAACTGCTGTCTACTCCAGCCCAATAGTCCAAGTACATATATTTATGGCATCTATCCCAACAGAAGGGAGGTGCCTGACATTTCGAAAAAGACAGTTACTCGCTTATCAGTTCCTGCCATCCCATCCTGGTTTTATAAGCAAGACAAAGCTGAGGCAGTTAAGTCAGAAAGCATTTTCTGGATTCTCTCTGTAGATTGTATACATCAGCACATATCTAATAGCTATTTCTGCGTTGTCATTTCTTCTTCTCCAGCGACTTTTTCTTGCCCTTTTGTTTTTCTCACTGACAGCTCTAGGAGGGGGTGGGCAGGAGGAAGGGAAGGAGATAAAATTCAAATGAGGTCATCTGGCCAGTCACTCTTTGGCTAAAGCAGAGTCCCAAGAGACCAGCTAGGGGAGCTGGACTCCCTCCATGGCCCAGCTTGCTTCGGACAGATGTGAGTTGGGGCCAACACGACAGGCCATGAGCCCATTTCCTGCCAGATGTTTTGTGCAAGGGGCCCAGGCCAGCGAGTGGAGATGACTCAGGAAAATGAGCCTCACCTCCAGAAAAACAAGTGACCATGTAAGTCACTCCCACCCCTGTAACTGCTGTGCTTTTCCTGTGTTATAGTTTGGGAATAAAGGGGTAACTAGAAAACAAGGTCTTCATGACTGATTAATTTTTCTCCCTTTCATCCTCTACATTAAACTGAAATCAAATGTGAGCTTCGGTAAGGCCTACAGGCTAAGAAGGATTTTTTTTTAAAGATTTATTTATTTATACAAGAGCTGGGGTACAGGCCAGAGGTGCGGGAGGGTGAGAGGATTCACCAGAGACAGAGCAGGGAGCAGAGCAGGCAGAGGGACCAAAGACACTGCTGAGGGGAGCAGCGGGGAGACAGGAGAGGTCTGCCGCACCATGTGGGAATCTCCCTGGCTGGCCGGGAATTGAACCCTCACTGTAGAGGCTGCGGACAGCTTCACAGCGCTGCACTCAACCCGCTGCGCCACCGGGGAGGCCCTAAGAAGGATTTTTATATGTTCAAATGGTTGAAAAAAATCAGGAGTGACATTTCATGGCACAGGAAAATATATGAAAATCACATTTCAGTGGCCGTACATGGTTTCCTTGCAACAGCCACCCTGATGGGTTATCTGCTGCCCAAAGCTGTTGCTCTGTTACAGCTGAAGCTACGGCCCGCAATGAGGAGATCTGCCATATTGGAATTTACAGACTCCAGTAACCCTGCCTTTTCTCATTCTACAGAAACCTTTCTGGATCCTTACCACTTTACAAGTCATGAGCTTGCCTTATTTACTCTCCATTTGTGCAGATTATTTTATTTCTCTTGAAATCATAAGTCAGGGGCACCACCTCCATAAAAAATGGCTTGTAGTCTCCAGAAAGGACAATATGACACTCAAGATTTTCAAAAGATCCTAAAAATGAATGATGCTTTATCCCTTCCACAAGGTTACTATCATTTAATGTGTGTGTATGTGGGCTTCTGACACTACAACGAAAATTTCTGCACACTTTCTCACATGTGAAAATAAATGAATTGGGATGGCAGTGGGGAGGAGCACAATGGACGGTGGTGGGAGACTCTGGTTGCTTTGGTGGTGGGAAAACTATGGTGACCACACCTGAGGAGGTAAGTCCTATACTGTCAAAACACTATAAAAGGGGCCTCCCTGCTGGCGCAGGTGGCTGAGCACCGCACTGTGAAGCTGTCCGCAGCCTCTGCAGTGCGGGTTCGATCCTGGCCGGCCGGCGAGAATCCCACATGGCGCGCAGACCTCTCCTGTCTTGCCCGCTGCTCCCCTCAGCAGTGTATTTTGTCAGTCTGTCTGTTCTGTTCCCTGCTCTGTCTCTGGTGAACCTTCTCACCCTCCCGCACATCTGGCCTGTACCCCGGTTCTTGTATAAATAAATAAATAAATAAATAAATCTTTAAAAAAAACCACTACAAAAGACGTAAAACGATGGTACTAAAATTTAAAAAAAATAATGAATTTTGCTTCCTACCCATAAATGAAATGCTATTTATTAAAAGAGGAACTACACCCATTTTTATTGTATAAAATCAAAATACCTAAGAGTTAGTTGGGTCTTGACTGTCTCCTTTCTACCTGACTCAACAAGTAATACATATACTACCCTCAGAAAATGAGAAAATTGACTTTGAGATTTCTCAGAGGTACCTGGCTCTGCAGATTCACCCTCCACCTGGAAGATAAGATTCTTACTCCTTGGAGCCAGTATGAGCTCCGTCCCTTTATCAGTAACGAGGCTGCTAACACTTTAGCAACATGTCAGCACACCTTTCAACCGCACACAGCCCACACCAAGATGGCCGCCATTGGGCTGGTGTTCATTATTCGCCCTCACTCAACATGCTGGCATCTGCGGGGTGCCCTGTCCTGGGTGTACCAGGATGTAGAGAGGTGCCAGACAGGAAGAGGGTAGTGTTCAATTAACTAACTGAACGGTATTACCTTAGACCCCCCCTTCAATGATTTAAATAATGCAATTGAACCCAGAGCGATGTACTCATAACTCACCAATATACACATCTCCAGATATGGTGTAAATGAAGCTGGTCCACCCTGAAAAGGAACCATTGACATTAGAAAGTCAGTGCCACAGTGCAAAAAGGAAAAGAGAGTTAACAAATATCTCTAAATAGGCAATAGAAACATGAATTCGTGTAGTAGATATCAAAGATAAGTTTGTAGATAAACTCCTTTATTGTATTTTAAATATGTATTTAAAATTTATGTTCTCTGAGCCATTCAAAACATAGTCTCACTTTTTCATGTGCACACACACATACACACACCCCCAAACCTAAATGATTTGGCCCAAATGATTAAGAACCACACAAGGAGACACTACAGTTCGCTTGGCCGCACGTGTGGATGCCAGCAGCTGTGCGAAGAAACAAGCTGTTCCTAGCATCAGGCCAGTAACTGCCACACAGCAGGAGGGCTGATCTTCAGCCTGCTCTGCCTCCGGGAAGTTTGAAGTGCGAAGACATTGCTAGAAAGAAGCTTTTCTTTACTTAATTGTGTTCTAGTTTTCAGTGAACTGGATCCTTTCTATTTACCCAAAAAGAGCACGTCCAGCCCAGGGATCCAGGGCTGCACAATGTCTGGAATACAAACAGGCTTCCGATGCCCGTGCACACTCTGCCACAACCTTGGTAGGATGTACACTTCTCTGTGAGGAGGGCACAGGGCCTTCGCCATGGCCCATGGGGTCAGGAGTGCAGAGCCTGGATAACCCGCGCCGGATCTGCACGGAGAGCTGTGCATTGTCCCGTGCTCCTGGACAGGTGCTGTGGCGCCACTGAGGGACACCGAGCGACAAGTGGCGACTCTCGTGGAATCAGGTCATGACTCGTGTGCCTTCAGTGGGAAGGGAGAAGGCCTGGGAAGGGAAAGCTGGGCAGAGTTCAAGGCAGAGGGGCAGAGTCTGTGAGAGTCAATGTGGTGAAGGAGTAAGCAAAAGCCAGGTGGGCATGGAAGGGCCATGGAGCATGTACCATACTCCAGGGATGTGGCTGTGACGGCAGGTGGATGGCGACACCTCAGAGGGGAAGCAAAGAACAGGTGCAACTGGCCAGAATGAGTCTGCTGAGGAGAATCTGAAGGATGGCCACACCAACAAGGACGCCTGGAGGAGGCCAGGGTACTGTTTCCCTTTCAATTTGTCCTCTCTGAGATTTTACTAGAATAAGTCTAAGGACTCTGGAAGTAACGCTTTTGCTCATAGCTCACTCACACTTTTCTCCTTACTGACCTGCTTGCTCAATCTTCCAAGGTTTCTGCCATCATGTAGGGGCAGCTACCATTCCTGTACACGCATGGGGGTGTTCAACTTGTGTGACTGGGGGAGGGAGGTCCGTGGCAGATGCTGAAGACACATGTCAACGATCCACAGCCCGACCCCCCGGGCTTACCCAGAGAAGCTGGCTCTGCCAAGCACTCCTCTCTGCTCCCTAGTGGGTGCCGAGCTGCCCTGGCCCTTCTTAGCTTGACTGATAATAAGCTCTACCTCAAATATCCCTTTATTTGCTGATTTTCAAAAAAATTTCACCTTTGAAAATTGTTTCAATTTCCTTTTCAAAGTACAAATATCTTATCAGTTCAGGGTTTTTTTTTTTTCCCTTGGTTACAAAAAGTAATAAGCATTAATTGTAAAATATTTTCAGAATGTAAAAGTGTGTGACATCTAAACTGAAAACCTTTCTGCCATCTTCATACCCCGACACAAATGTTGCCAGCCATTGGGGCTTTGTGCTTTCCGTTTGTTTTTTGCTATTATTTGCTTAAAAATGAGAACAAACTCAATGTTCTGCTTTGGACATCTTTCCATGTCAAAACAGAGAGAAATAACTCACCCGTGGGGAAGTCTGCAATGCTTGCCATTGTAAGGACGTTCATCACCGATACAAGCAATCCCCTCTTTGCGGGTGACAGGTATTAAAATATCAGTGGTTTCTGAATCTGATGGAAGCTTCCAAGCTCTCAGTGGCTCAACTGGGTTTTCATTTGGATTATTTTGGTTGCTCTAATCTCATTTCTCCTCCACCCATTTTCTTCATTCCTACTCACCCTCCAAGCAGAAAACTCGTCTGCACACAATTGCCTAGGTCTGTTTTCTTTCCCTTTTTATCTTTTCACATGATCCAGAAGGACCAAACGTTTGCTGAAAGGAATGACCGAGTCCATTTATGAAGTGCCTTCACCTATTTTTGCTCCTTGTAAAAGTCTTCTCTTAGGATCTAGAGCCCTTCTTTACTGGCATGTAGGAAACCTACTTTGTTGTTTTTTTAAAGATTTATTTATTTACGCATACAAGAACTGGGGTGTAGGCCAGAGGTGCAGGGGGTGAGAGGATTCACCAGAGACAGAGCGGGGAACAGAACAGGCAGACTGACTGAAATACACTGCTGAGGGGAGCAGCGGGTGAGTCAGGAGAGGTCTGCTGCGCCATGTGGGTAGCTCCCTGGCTAGGGATTGAACTCATGCCTCAGTGGCTGGCGACAGGTTGATAGTGCTGAGACTTAACCCCTGCGCCACCTGGGAGGCCCTAGGAAACCTACTTTCATTCCGCCAAGTGCTGCTTCTGAAAGCTACAGCAAAAGAGGAGCCAAATCGTGTGAATGCTTATATGGGCAGCTACCACCGCCTTTTACTAGAATTCCTTCTTTGCGAAGAGCCAGATGGCAAAGGTAAAGAGCGCGCTTGTGAGATTTGCAGGCCCTTCTCTCCTCTCCCCCTTCCCCCAGCCCTCCTCCCACTTTTATGTCCTGCACCAGAATAGAAACCATCCCCCAATTTTATTGCTCTGTCAAAGGTCATAGGTTCTACACTTTCCTTTCTTCTACAAATGTGGTCTCCAAGCTTCTGGGCGTTGCTGTGGATATGCTTTCCTTCCCCTCAAAGACAGAGAAAGGGAATCAGGCTGGAGGTCACATTCACCTCTGGCCCCACAGGATGGTTAATCAGCAACACATTGAAAGGAGACCTCCTTGAGCCAAAGAAAAAATGTAAAACTTTACTTTTAAATATGTAAATCATTTTCTATGGCATTTGCTCTCATTTCTAGGGAGGTTCCCAATTCTTGCAAAAAGTCCCCAGTGAGAGCTTTCCTTGGCCCACATTCCTTGCCTTAACCCACTCATTTTCCTCCTGCCTATCTTAGAGCTCAGTATTCCAGTGACCTACTGCTCCTCTGTTTGCACAGCAGGGAAAGCAGAAAAACCTGGCCTGAGGCCACATCAAATCCCTGACAAAGGTCAGTTCTGAGGGAAGAGAAGAGCAGAGCAGGGCAAGGGAGAGACTGAAACTCTCCCCAAACTCTGGGTCACCCGGTTGCCAGACCCCAAAGCAGCACTGGTTCTCAAGAGCCTCCCCATCCAGCCCCTGCACTGCGTGGGGACCAGCATCACCCCCACCACAGATCGCATGCTGGCCTCCCGGTCCCATCTGCTCCTCTTCTCTCCCCTCCTCCTTCCACCAAATTATTTTTTAATTTTGATTTTTAAAATAATTTCAGACACACCCCAAAAAGTTACCAAAATAGTGCAGAAAATTGCCACGTAACGTTCACCCAGATTCTCCCAGAGTCGTTGTGCCATCACATACGCGTTATCATCCTTCTCTCTAGGAATATGTTTCATTCATTTTCTTCTAGAACATTTGAAAGTAAACTTGCAGATATGATACCCCTCTACCAGCTGAAATACTCCTTAGTAACCACAGAGTACTTGTAAAAATTATGAAACTTATAGGATATCAAGGAAAAAACGATGACTGTTAGAACACCACCATGATCTGCGTGCAGATATTCAAACTGTGTCAGTAGCTTCAGCAATGCCTTTTAGGGCAAAAAGAAAACTACGTCCTAGACCAGGATCTACTGGGTGCGGTGAGGTCTCCTCTCCCTTCATCTGAAAGGCCCCTCAGTCCTTCCTTCTCTTCAAAAGCACGGGGTGGTTATTTTGTAGCTCGTCCCTCCTCAGTTTGGGAGTCACTAACGTTTCCTCAGCATTAGACCAAACTGTTTCTTCATCCCTTTCCCTGTCAGCTTCAGGGAAAAGCTTTTATTTCTTTTCAATACTTTGTTTTAATTCACAAGAGCAGAAAGGATGAAATAACACACATAAACATTGCTGTTTATTTCACCTTTCTTTCCTCTTACAGATAAAATCACACCTGGTTGCCTCCAAGTCATTTTCTACACACAGTGAACGTGACCTTTCTAGAAACCCCACTTAGAAGCCACCAATGGCTCTGTTGTCCCAAGATCAGCCCAACTCCTCATCCTAAGCAGACAGATGCTTCCTACTCTGGTCCTCTACTTCTCTGGAGTCATCCACCCTCTGCTTCTCCCCACTCCACAGTTAATTCTCACCCAGCAATTTCTTCTCAGCCTTCTGGCTAAGACCAAGCGTTAATTCTCACCCAGCAAACGCCTCCTGGGGAAAGGAAGAAGGACAGGACAGCAGAATGGGCCTAGAAGGGGGATCCCGGTGCCACAGAAAGAGAGCCAGCCAAGGAACTATAAAATACCAACAAAAAAGAACACACAATCACAGCAAATGAATCCTCTGGAGATCTAGACCACACTCAACCTCTTTGAAGGTTCTCTGAATCTTTTTGAACCTGTTTTCTGGTTTGTAAGATAAGGAATTAATTCATACAACACAGAGCTGTCAGGGTGATCAAGAGGCACCGAATTTCTGTGTATACACATATACACGTGTGTACACAGACATGTGTGTACAACGGTGGGTCACGTGTTTTTCACTTTATCTACACAATGCCCAGCACTTAGTAGGCATTTAACAGATGTGAGTTCCCTTTCCCGCCCTTCTTCTTTTTCCACTTTCCCCCAATTTATGCTGATCAGAAGGTTGCAGTGGCTGCTATCAAGGTTTCTGATGAGCTGTCACCCACACCAGAAAAGGGTCATGATCACAGAGGTTGCCCCTTGCTCCCTGGAACACACCCCTCCCTCAGCTCCAAGCCAACTGGTCTCCTGGTGTGGTGGGCCGCACTATACACCGAGCGGAGGTAGTCAGGGTTGTTTCCCAAAATGTAGAGAATGGACCCTCCCGGTCCTTGCCAAGAACCTCGTGGCTCTTAGGACTCTGTCTGTGCCAATGAACTGGACGCTGTCTGTGCCAATGAACTCAGCAGTCCAGAAGTGGTGGCCTAAGGTGACTTTCTGATCACATAACAGACAGCTCATTCTTAGGTCCCCAAGCTGGCCAAGCATAGGCCTCTAACCCCATCTCCTAAGCAAACATGAACAGCAAGAGAGATATCAAGTTTGTAGGTCTGCAATCTGGAAAAGAGGTAAAAGAGGTAAGTTAGGGTATTACGTGACCCTGTAGGGATTCCATCAAAAGAAAACTCTGCCTCATCTCTTTTTCTCATCTCTGACCCCCGGCTCTCCCTTTCATTTACAGAGATGCTTATAATTAGATTAGGCCCACCTGGATTATCCAAGCTCATACCCCACGTCCGCGACATCCCCTTTCCCAGGTGAGCTGGCATAGTCACAGGTTCCAGGGACTAGGGCATGGCCATTATTCTGCTTGCCACCAGGGTACACTATCTTCTCTCTACAGAAATTCTATTGGCTGTTATACATATACTGTCAAGAAAAATCAGATACTGAAGGAAGCCAAGAAGGCTTACAAAATGGAGGTTTTCTATAGCATGACAATCCTCCATGCTCTAACATTCCAGGTCAGGTTTTGAAATATCTGGTGGCAGAGGTGCTATGCAAGATGGGAAAATCAACAGAGTGGCTGTCTACGGCCGAACCTTGATGCAGTCAGAAGACAAGGGGGACACGAGGACCAGAAGGCACAGGTCTCTTGGGAAAGATTGGCTATTTTCCTAGAAATAGATTTATGTCCTCAATGAATGATAACAAAGTGTTATCTATATTTCAGTTTATAGCAAGGAAAATTAATTGCTTTGCAAGACATGGTAAAAGTTACTGCAAAAAAAAAAAAAAAAACCCAAACCAACAACTACTTATTCTTATTTTAGCCAAGAACTAAAATGAAAACCATGTGACCCATGAGCAAGGAATCTGGTGCTGTCAGAGACTCAACAAATTGGATTCTTTGTAAGTGATGCATCGTCCAGTTCAAACCCTGATATCAACTGCTTCCAAATCATCACTGCATGAAACATCTGTCTTCTGCAAGGTTAGTGCAACTCCACAGAAGAGAGCCTCACTGAAGGAAATAGGAGATGGTCAAAATTGATTCCAAGACTATTTATGGGAAGGAATTCAGATAAAACCTAGTCTGATGCATGAGAAATGTTTGCAGTCCCCCCTAAGTGGACATCGCTTGGGACACAGGCACTCTCCTGGTATCAAGGGTGGGATGGTGGCAGAGGACACCTCAACTTCTACCTCATTCCTTTGGTAATATGACAAAGTGAACATTAAATTAGATTGCAAAGCTTATGCCAAAAGTCAAACATAACCCAGACATACATGTCAAATCCCTCTACCAAGAGTAACAAAACAATCAGAACATCATAAACAAAACTTGTCTAAACCCAGCCAATGCCTTACACATTTCAAGGACTATTTGAGGCAATGAAGCATCCAAATTAAATCAGCTTAGACAGTCCCTGGGCTTTACAATGGGATCTGACCTGGGAAGGTGGTTAAAAAAAAAAACAAAACAACAAAACAAAGGATGACTGTGACAAGAATGACTTAATAATAAAAATTAGACAGCATGAATTTACCAGTCAATGTGTGTGTTATAGGAAGCTAAAATGATCAAATCTGTGAATAGCAATTATTTCATAATACCCGAATTGCTTGTGTGGTACTGGAGAGAGAGGGAGAGAGAACTAACTGCACACTTTGTTCCTAGTGATTGGTTACTACTCTGAATTAACCTACACATTTTTCTGTGTCAGCAGAAGTTCATGACTAATGACCTCAGGGGTAACCATTTTTTAAAAATTAAAACTGGCCTTAAATACCTGAAGTTTTCTAATTATTCTTTGCACTTTAAAGTGGACTTCACAGGTAAATCCTCCATAGCAAGACCTTTATCAAGCAATATCAGTATCCCAATCCAGATTGCCCTTGCAAATCAGTAATGTGATTGGGACTGGCCCCAGGAATACTGTGAGTCAGTCAACAGTGGCCGGGAAGTCAGGAGACATGGGTAACAGTCCTGCCTTGCCCAGAAGGTTCTCATGTGGCCATGAGCAAGTAACTATGGTCACATGTCACCTAATGATGGCACTATGTCCTGAGAATGCATCCTTGGGAAATTTCATTGTTGTAAGCGTCAGAGACTGTATGTTATTCTCCAACCAGCACTTCTCCATTTTGCTGGCACAGCAATTAAGGAGAGCATCACAGAAGAGGAACTGGGTAACTCATGACTTCTTTCTGCTCCCCTACCTGGCGGTACACCAGCAGTGTGTGCTACCACCTAAGTAGGCACTAGGACAGACACATTGTTATGTGGACTAACGTGGTGGGCCTTGGTGTCCACACTTGTAAAATTAGGGGGGTGGCCCAATGGTCCCAACTCTAACAGTCTAAGTATCCATCCTGGTTTTCTAAATTAGCAGCTTTTGCTTATTTAGACATAATTAAACAAAGTTCGCAGAGTTGAGATTGAGAAATGAGCACATTCTAGAGAGAGGGCCCTTTGTTTGTTTGTTTTGATCCTAACATGACCACTACCCCCAGAATCCATCATACCTTTAGGAATAGGTTGGCAATGCTTTGCTCCTTGGTCCAACGTGAAGTCCAAATATAAGGTTGGTGTGCGAGTGTAAACCTTGGACTGAAAAGAAAAAGGAAACCATCAGCATCTTCTTCAGAAGTAAATGGTTCTTGACTCCAGCTGGGTCCTTCAGTAACAGGCCTAGGCCCTAGATCCATTTCATTTACAATTCCTCCCAGGGAAGTGCTAGGGAGCTGGGGGTGGGCTGCCAGTATGGCTTCCTCTTAAGGGTCTTGTTAACCCTTCTAGCTTTACAATATGGTTGACAAGCTAACTTCAGGGTGACAGCTATCTCTCCAGAGCCAGTTCTCAAATATGGCTCTCTGTGAATAACTCACTGGTCAATAGTTGCTCCAACTTTCTCTTTCCAGTCTTCCCCTTGATATGGTAGGCTATCTCTCATCCAAATGTATACTTCTTCCTCTCATCTCAATAAAGCCATGTCCATTTGGAAAATTTTAAAAAGTGGCCTGTAAATATTTTTATTTGTTCTAATTTTTACCCAAAAAAAGGTGGTCCACCACGGCTGGCTTCCAAAACCACAACTCTGAGTGTAAGAGGAAAAGCAAACTTCTGCAGGGCTTTCCATTGTAAACAGTGGCTTTCCTGCCATCAACAGTTAAGCAGAGTTTGTAATTCAATATGAGGCCATTCTGAATCACTGGCATAGACCAAAATCCAAGGGATTAGCACTGTTGCTATGAACCTTACGATGTCTCACTGTTTATCATAGGCCCCAGTGGTTCTAGTCTACTTTTTTTTAAAACTTAAAATATACACAAAAATGAAGAAGAGCATAATACCAAATTTGGCAGATATGAAAATAACTAGAACTTTCATTACAGGGCAGGTAATGTAGTGTGGTCAGAGTCGACTGAATATTTGAGTAGAGAGCTGAAAATCAAGCTATCCAAAGATTGTTCCCCTTCCCTTGACTTCTCATGTATGGAAGCTCAGCGTTAAATGGCTTGGTAGGTGATTTTTACACAATTTGGAAGGTCAAACTGCATCAATACCTCTTCAAAGAGAGGGCAAGCAAATTCTCCTGTGCACACATAAATGAAACCAGATAGACCTGTGACATCAAGTGCAACCTGAGGCCAAAGATTCACAATCAATCCTGAAGAGCTTGAAACATACATAAAACAAGGCCAGCCCCCACGGGACACGGGGGCTGGTTCTCCAGGACCATTATGGGCTTAAGGCACCATCTGGAAAGGATCTGGCTTTGCCCGATGAAGACTTCTAAAATTACCTCTGAAAAGATCAAGGGTAAATGTCACGTAATATCGGACGGCTCCTCTTCCTGGGTAGTGTTTTGATCCCTTCCAGAAAAAGGATCTCTGTTTGGTTTACGCCTCTCTCCTAACCTCGATCGCAGCAGCAGATGCAGCACGCCTGCCTATAGTGAAGATTCATCACCAAGAGGCTCCAAGTCCAATCCTTATTAGATTTCTCCTAGAATGTGGTCATAAAAATAACCTTCAACTGGAAGCCAGGGGTCTTTGATGCTGACTCGCAACACCCTTATCTTCTTTTGGGCTTAGTTCACTCATCTGAAAATCCCGTGCTGGGACTCACAGATGCTTAAGTCTATTTCTGGTTCTGAAACACTGAGTCAGAAAATTAACGTTTCCTCCATGCTTTAATTTCTTAAATTCCCTTCTAATTATTCTATAACCGTAGAGATGTGAGGATGGGGCTGGTGTGAGGGAGGACCACGAGGACTGTGGGGAGCTGCTGTTCCCTTGCTGTCGTCTTGCTTTCAACCTCAGTCATCAACCTTGCCCTCCTGGTTAGTTCATTTTCTTTTCTTTCTGCCTCAGCTTCTCTACCTAATCCACATTGTCCAAAAAACAGTACCCTAACTCTCTAAGATTGCTACTACACAGATATATGTGTATATGCACATACAGGATTCCATATTTATGTACAAAAATGTTAAACAGAAACTACGGAGAGACTTCATAAGGCCACAAGTAAGTCCTAGCATCTTACAGTGTGAAAGGGCTAGAGAAACTATTAATTCACTGGAAAGGTGTTTTTCACAACATCTATAATTTAAAACAGAATTCCAATTCTAATATCCTTTTTCCTGCTGAAAATTGGAATCTTGAAAGTTGCAGGATAACCCCAAATCTAAATATATATTATTCTACTCCAGTTCACCTATAATGATATAAAACTCAATTGGAGACTGTTCTTATCACCGTGTGTGTGTGTGTATGTGTGTGTGTGTGTGGTGTGTGTGTGTGTGTGTGTGTGTGTGTGTGTGTTTGAAAAGCAGGTATGTTTTACTTTTTCAGCTTTGATCTTCCATGGTAACTCTGTTGAAATACCAAATGTAAATTATGTTTATTTAACTCAAGGATGATAACTCCAGCCTCCAATGCACTTTGAGCAAATCTGGATTGAATTTTTCTATTACACACACTGCTGATTTGCAACCATAAAGAAATATCGCCATTAGGCACATTTTTCCCTGTGTTCTGTTCTGTTTATTTTTATGTGTAGCATTAAATTATTAATAGACCCTCAAAATAGAATGAGAATTTAATTAAACAAATATTCTTTGGTTAAAACTTAGCTATCAATGTATCTATTTCCATAGGATTAAAACTGGTCTATGACAACCTAAAATAAAACATTCCTTTACAAATCTGTTTCAGCATAAACGGAACTAACACACTCAATTCCACTGGTGAAATTGTGTTCTTTTTCCATTGCTCTGACTGCGTTGATTACTAGTGCTTGCACGGGTACTAAAATCCAAAGTTGTTCCTCTTTTCTCTTTCGTAATTCTTGGTTAAAAGTATACTTGGGGGCCTCCCCTGGTGGCGCAGCGGTTGAGCGCTGGGCTGCAAAGCTGCCTGCAGCCCCTGCAGCGCCGGTTCGATCCCCAGCCACCGGCGAGGGTCCCACATGGCACGACAGACCTCTCCTGCAGGGCCTGCTGCTCCCCTCAGCAGTGTACTTCGTCAGTCTGCCTGTTCTGTTTCGCACTCTGGCTCTGGTGAATTCTCTCACCCTCCCACGGTTCTGACTGTACCCAGCGCTTGTATGAATAAATAAATAAATCTTTTAAAAAAAGTATACTTAGGAAATATATCTTTAAAGAGTTTAGTCTACATTTAAAAGTCTACTGGCTTAAAATTTCACAGTGCGCTGCGTGGAAGGATATCCTTGTTGAGGGGAAGAACTACCGTGACTTGCAGCGCTTTGCTCGAACCTCAGAGGCAAGGTGCCAGGGGGGTGCCTTCTATAATTTGCTGTCGCTGAGTTAAGAAAGAAGGCACACACAGACTTTTAGAGCAATGACGAGTCCATGAAAGATGAGGAGATGAGGAAGGCGGATATCTCTCAGAGAGTTGTGATTTTGAAACATAAATATTTCTTTGGCTTGACTTAGATGGAAATTTGTCACTGACTTGTGTTCCATAACTATGAAACGTGAATATCTGGACTGAGGAATAGCTTCTCTTGATAACAATTAAATAATGTAAAAAAAAATGTTTACAGTTCAGGTATCATATAGGCAAAGTTTCTAGAAGGTAAGTTAACTAACTTCCTATGAGAGTAAGGGGCAAATTTTAGCTAATCTACACCAGGGATGCTACCAAATCCACAAATACCCTGTCTCTCTCTATAAATATGTCAGAATTAAACCCTTAACAAGACTAAGATACTACGCCAATAATGACCACAAAACAAGACCAAACAAGGTCTACAAATCCACTTCCTTCCGACTCCCAATTACCTTCATCTTGTAGCCATCAAAGACTTCCCACTTACCCTTGTCAAGCTGCCTTCCTCTGCTTTTACTGGTAAACGTGATCCCAATTAAGAGATGAAATCATTTCCACATGGAAGCCATGTGGCTTAAAAACATCTTCCCAGGAGAAAGAGTGAACTGGTTGCTACGTAAATGTGTGGCAAAGCAAGCACCTTACACGTTACCAGTGCTCCTCTGAAGTGACTGCACCCTGTACCACGGAACCTGCTGCATCTGCCACCACACCAGACTTCCCTAAGAACAAAGGGGCAGCATTTGCCATGTCAGAGCTAATAAGTGATTCTGCATTTCTGTGTGGGAATTATTTCAAAAACCCTTGATGATTTAGTGGCTTTTCAGAACCACATTTAAATTCTCAATCTTACTATGTGTTGCATGACCACATTACTCTAGGTAATCGTATTCACAAATGCCAACTCTCGATATCCCACAAGGGAAAGAAAGCGCTCCCCACCTATCCCTGGATCCCCTCTCTCGGGCTGGACCTCTCCCTGAGTTTGGATGTCGTTTTGTGTCATCATTGCTAACTTTGGATGAATACATTTGACCCCATTTTTGTTTTTCCTTCTCAGTGAAATTATGGATCTAAAAGTTTGGACATTTAAAGGCTTTTGATACACTGGTAGGTCTGTGGCCAACTGCAACGTGGCCCAAAGCAAATCGCTTTGCATGCTCATGGGATCGAGCGTGATTCTGAGGACACTGGCTTTGCTAGTCCAGGCCACTTTGCTGCGTCATGGGCCAGCTTTTCAACCCGTTATCTGCTTTGAATATCATCCCTCCACATCTAGCCCCCTCGTGGAAGTAAGTTAACTCATTGGAACCAACCCCTATTACTACACATTCAGATTTTTTCCAATATACCTTTGTCACAAACATAGAAGGGAAGGAGTCATTGCTGAGGGGGGAAACAGGAGTAAGGTAAGGACGAGGAAAGGAAAAAATACCTGAAAATCTTTGAAAATTTTGACAAAAATAAGGAAAAAAACTGACATAAAGATAAGGTTTATAGGCACCACCTTCATAGTACAAATACCAGTATTTGGACAACCGGTGTCTGTAGCTCTTTGTTTTTGAACAAAAACAAAAACAAAATGTCATTTTGACTTGTTGTCACACTGACTGACTGATTCCTACCCACCATTTTTCGGTCAAATGACTTGGCAACTACCAGCCCATCCCATCCAAATGTTAAACATCTTATGTTTTTAAATCTTAGCCAATATAAGAAGCAGACACTGATAGCTCCTTACTCTTTTAATTTGGG